TTCAAGATTCACCATCCTTTACCGGTATGAACTTATTAACTATTCCAATGGAAGACCAAACTTTCTACATTGCAGTAAGGTGTCCTTGGGGATGGGCTGACTAAGAAGGAGGCCTTGGGGTATGGCTGAAGTGTGGAATACGTCCAGTCACTCTCGTCTCTTACTGGCACCTGTTCATTGAGTACTTTGCCCAAGGCAATGCTGCTCTAGTTTTTTTTTTTTCTTCCAGAAAACAATGGTCACTTTTCCCGTTTTACCATATCATCTTCATTAAGGGCTTGACTTCAATGCACCGCCATGCCCCCTGCCGCCCCAGAATGAAGGGGAAAGTTTTGTGAGTGATTGCAGCAGCTGCTGCTCTGGAACGCAGCGCAATTGGTGTGAACAAGCCCTAAGAATTCCTTGTGTCCAGCAGATAAGGATGGCGCATAGATCATATACTGATAATGACTCCCAAATCTGTAAACAAGGCACGAACCGTGTTTCCCCGAAAATAAGACACTGTCTTTTTTGGCTCAAAAAAATCCCCACACTAGTTCTTATTGTCGGGGTAGGTCTTATTTGTTTTGTTTTTTTTATGTACAACAATCCACTTATTCATGTAAAAAAGTCTACATGTATTCATATACCAAAATATGGTGATATGGGCAATCAGGGGTGCCGAACCTTTCCAAGAGCAATTTGGTAACCAATCGCTGGCCAGAATGAGCGAAGCGCACTTTCACTATTGATTCCTCACAGGCGGAGTGCCTTTGGTATCACTCCGCCTGTGACAGGAGTCGGCGCTATAGAGGAAGCATCGGCTTATGCGGGTCTGCCCCTCCGGTGCCGCCTCCCTTCTTCTAGCGCTGTCTTTGTTGGCACCGCTGATTCTCTCCTACCTCTCCCGCGGCTCTTCAAGTTCTCCCTTATTCCACCACCGGCCCTAGGAATGGTCACAACTAGGTCTTGTTTTCGGGGTAGGTCTTTTAGTTTAGCAGTTCCCAAAAATAGTACTAGGTCTTATTATCGGGGTAGGTATTATTTTCGGGGGAAACAGGGTACACCTTCATGTTGCCTGGGGGCAGTCAGCGCCCCTTGTATTCTGTTCAAATATAAACTTGTGCGTGTAAGAGCAATGTATCAGAGGACACTTGTATCTCTGCAATATTGCTGTGTGGTCAGTACATTCACCTATTCATCAGAGTCTCGTCATGGGGTGACAACGTACACCGAGAGATGAGCACTTGCTGGGTTGTGTAAAATGAATTGCAATATGGAGGTCCTGCAGCAAATGATCTGTTAACCTGAATGATGTGCAGCAGAGAATTGCATGACATTCACTGAGTTCTATCTGCATGGCATGAAATTAATGAGCCGTGTGAGGTAAATACTAGTTCTGGAGTTGAGATGTGGCAATGAGCGGTGTGATGTACAGCGTCGAGGGGGTCTCTACGGGGATGTAGGGGGTCTCTACTTTCCTGAGAAATACAACAAAGTGCTCATTGTATAGAGTGATCTGGAGTTGAGATGTGGGAATGAGCGGTTTGATGTACGGCGTCTAGGGGTCTCTACTTTCCTGAGAAATACAGCGAATTGCTCATTGTATTGTGCATCCTTGCACGATGCATGCAATGGATGTGGTGTAACTCCAGCTGCATTCATTGCCTTGATATGAAGCAGTAAGGTGTGATGTGCACCAAGTTCTGGCTGTGTTGGATGAAGTGGATGAGCTGTGTGGTGTACAGTAATAGGGGGACTCCAGGGCTCTGGCTGTGCTGTATGGAGGGATGAGTAGAGGCTCCGGAGCTCTGGCTGTGCTGTATGGAGGGATGAGTAGTGGCTCCGGAGCTCTCGCTGTGCTGTATGGAGGGATGAGTAGTGGCTCCAGAGCTCTTGCTGTGCTGTATGGAGGGATAAGTAGTGGCTCTGGAGCTCTTGCTGTGCTGTATGGAGGGATAAGTAGTGGCTCTGGAGCTCTTGCTGTGCTGTATGGAGGGATAAGTAGTGGCTCTGGAGCTCTTGCTGTGCTGTATGGAGGGATAAGTAGTGGCTCTGGAGCTCTTGCTGGGCATGAATAGAACACAATGGTAACAGACATGCAGCAGTCAATTGTGTGAGATACCACAAATTATTTCTGCAGTAAATGAAGTGAATCATTCTGGCTGGGAATGAGCTGTGTGATGCACAGGGAGTATGAAATGAATGAGCTTTGTGATGCCCAGTGAGTATGAAATGAATGAGCTGTGTGATGCCCAGGGAGTATGAAATGAATGAGCTGTGTGATGCCCAGTGAGTATGAAATGAATGAGCTGTGTGATGCCCAGTGAGTATGAAATGAATGAGCTGTGTGATGCGCAGGGAGTATGAAATGAATGAGCTGTGTGATGCGCAGGGAGTATAGAGTGAATGAGCTGTGTGATGTGCAGTGAATATAGAGTGAATGAGCTGTGTGATGGTGCAGGGAGTATGAAATTAATGAGCTGTGTGATGTGCAGTGAATAAAGAGTGAATGAGCTGTGTAATGTGCAGGTGACAGTAGGGTACAGGTACAGTGATGGTCCCGGAGTGTATACAGTGAGTAGTGATAGTTCTGGAGGTGAGGCATGTGATGAAGTGACACTACATAGAACAGACTTGTATGGCAGCGTGTGACTGTGTAGTGAGTTCTCTGTGGGGCATGTTCTCTGTCCTGCGCCGATGTCCTCAATGAGTTCTCTGTGTCCTGCGCCGATGTCCTCAGTGAGTTCTGTGTCCTGCGCCGATGTCCTCAGTGAGTTCTGTGTCCTGCGCCGATGTCCTCAGTGAGTTCTGTGTCCTGCGCCGATGTCCTCAGTGAGTTCTCCTCTCCGGGACATTTGCGCTCGCCTGGAGTCGGCTGATATTAATAACATTGGAGTAAACATGACATAACAATGTTAGGACGAGTCTTGCAGGGGACACTTACCGGCCAGCAGGCGGGCGGCGCTGCTCAGGTGTCTGGCGGGACATCCCCTCCATGGGACGAGTCTGGCGGCACAGCTCACACTTCTCACACCGCTCAGCACTCTCAGCGCCATCTTCCACAGCGCGCCCCCGCTCCGCCCCCCA